AATGGGTTCACCCCCAGCATTTTGTCGTAGGCGGTGACGGGGCCACGTGTGAATCCTGAGTTTTCTTTCTTGCCAACCGGCCCGTAAACCTTACATCCCCGAAACCCTCAGAGTAAGAACGCTCATGCCCGGCCGGGGTGGTTCAGTGGTGCGCGTCGACCTAGGAACCAGGAAGTCAGGGTTCAATTCCCAGCCGGGGGGTGGGGCACACGCCTGGGTTTTGGGGCTCGATCCCCGGTCGGGGGCATGCAGGAGGCGGCCGGGCCATGATTCCCTCTCATCACAGATGTTTCTCTCTCTCTCTGTCTCTCCCTCTGCCTTCCTCCCCGAAATCAATAAAAAAAAATAAAAAGAAAGAGAAAGAAATCGCACCGATCGGGAGTTTGCTTGTCCCTTTGACCCAGGCTGTGAGGCAGGTGGACTCGCTCTCCCCATGGGGGTGGGGGGCCGGGTCAGTGACCCGGTCTAGGAGGACGGCCCTGTCCGTTTTACAGGCGCCTTGCGCCTTCCTCTTCATCTCAAAAGTCACCGCCTTCTTATCTCAAGTCCTTCGTTCACGGATGGCTTCCTCTCCCCGAAATGTCCCCATGAGGCCCGAAGGTTTTCGCTCCAGAGCACGAGGGCTGAATAGGACATTGTGCGCGGGGTCGAAGGTCGGCCTCCGAGGGGGAAACCCGCTCTGCCTGGTAAAAGACCCCCCCCCTCTCTTTTTTACGACGAGCCTCCCATGCACAGAGATTGAGCCCATCTCCCACCCATTCCAAAGCCTCGAACAAAAAGGCATCTTAGCTCTGAACCCCTGAGTGGCAGCCGGGAAAGATCTTAGAAAAAACAAACGCCGTGCAGGTGTTCAAGGTAAAAAAAATCCCCCCAAAAAACAAAACCCTCCCTGCCGCAGGCAGAACATCCCGGCCACTGAAGGATGAACGAAGGGAAAAAAAATGAACAGGGAACCGAAGAGATGTGGGCCGCCCCAGCCGGTGTGGCTCAGTGGATAGAGCATCGGCCTGTGGACTGAAGGGTCCAGGGTTCGATTCCGGTCAAGGGCACGTACGTCGGGTGCAGGCTCGATCCCTGGCCTGGGTCAGGCAACCCGTCGATATGTCTCTCTCTCTCTCTCTTTCCCCCTCCCTTCCACTCTCTCTGAAAAATCATTTGGGGGAGAAAAAATATCCTCGGTGAGAATGAACAAAAATAAGTAAATAAGTGTATTCGCGAAAAAAAACAAATACAGACACAAATAAAAAGACAAAAAAGTATGGCTGGGTGACGGCCGGGCCTAACCGACAGGACACCAA